AGAATTTGTCTTCCTACTCTTTCTTCCCTGACTCAATCTAGGAACAAGAATTACAAAGTTTGACATGCATAACTCAATTGCTAGTAGCATTAAAGCACAGAGTTCTTGAGCAATTATATTGAATTAAACTAACCAGAAGTTGAGGGATTCAGTGTGAGAATTACTTTTAATATTAATCACGCCAGTTCTCTTAATCTCCTGGGGTGAAGACAAAGCTGTATGGTAGGGTCCTGTAATTAATAAATCTTATCTACTTACTATAAGAAGAACATATACTGATATTACATTGGCAAAATACCAAAAATATCTTTCCAAGTATGAAGTTGATAAAATCAGAATATGTATTCTATCAGATGTATTTCTCATGAGTTTTTGAAACTCAAATGCAATTTTTAAATTTAATTCACTAGTTCTATTTATTAAACAGCTCTCAAAGTTAAGAAAGGTGATCACTCTAAAGCCTTCTGAACTATTGAATCTGCTTTAGGATTTAACCAAAAGTTGGGGAAATTTCCTCTCTTTCTAGTGTTTGGCCACAAAGGATTTATAGCTGTATAGTTAATATAAAGGTCAGCACATTCATTCCTTTATATGGTATATAAATGTTGAATAACTATGTTGTACATGTGAAACTCATATAATATTGTATTTTAGCTATACTTTAATAAAAGTAAAAATAAATTCTGTCATGTTTAAAATGTTAAAGACTAACACATTCTTGAAACTAACTTCCAATTTCTCTTTAATGATAAAAACAGCTGTGAGTGCTTACAATGTTCCAGGCATTATGCAAAGTGGTATGTATATAGTATTTTCCTAAATCCCCATATACATACACAAACTTACAGAAATATATCCTATGGTGAATATATTAGATGTAAAATCATAAAAGCTTAGATGAAAGAAACTGAATGTAAAAAATAAAATGAACTTTAAGAAGACTGTGTAAGGTCACTCAGAAAGGAGCAATTCAGAATTTAAATCATGTCAGTCTGAATTCAAAATGTGTCTTCTACATGCTGTGCTGCTTGAACCTTATTCCTTTTTGTTATTTATTGTAGTCCAGAAATTTGTATAGAAAGAAAAAGTTGCTTTCAGGTTTTATGGTTCTAGGATAGCCTATAGCACATAATTTCCCTAATCACAGAACCAGTAGTGTTAAAGAAGAAGGAGGAAAGGAAGAAAAACTAGAGGAAAAAGGTGATTTTCCAAATTTTTATCAAGCTGAGTGTATTTGTCAGGATTATTTCTGTTGAAGGTGATGGAAATACAGCTGAAACTCATTTAAGCAAACAAAGATAATTTATTTGTTCAAGTAACTTAGCCAGTTCAAGCAAAGTTGAATTCAGCTACTAAAAAACGATGTCATAAGGCATTTCTTGACCATGTTTTCCTGGGGGTTCCTTCTAGGTAGGCTTTTCACAAGTAATGCCAAAATGATCATTAGCAATTTGAAAAGAAAGCAATTTATTTCATACTCACATTCTACATGCTTGGAGCATTGCCAAAATATCCCAACTATGGGGGATGAAGATCAAGGCAGAGAAGGAAGAATAAAAATTGGAAGAAACAATCTCTATCATAAAGTTGTGCATTGGTCAAAATGTGGAACTAGGTATCCAACCAGACTCAAAATACTTTTATTTATATTTAATATAGATATATTTGAAATATTAATTTTTTTCATGTTTCATTCTTTCCTTTATAAATCAAAAACAGTAGTTGTAATCCCTCTATATAAATTTGATATCATCCCTTTAATTAGTAAGTACTACAGAACACAAGGGATATTTTTTTTCTCCAGGAAGACTTAATTCATTTCATTCATAAGTTTTCCTTCAAATAACCCATATTATCTGTATAGAAAGCTAGAGGGGCCACAAATCTTTGCCCTTAACATGTCAAAAACTTCTGAAAAGTGTAATATTTTCAGATATTAGGTTAATTTTGAAGACCTATTTTAATGCGCATGCATTTCACCAGAAGCAGTATTTTTCAGGACAGACCATGTTTTGTGTATGTGTTAATTTATATACCTATTTATAGATATTAATGAAACATTGGAATTTTTATTAGTGAGTTACAAGTTGCTTCCCATTATCTTAAAGCAGGTTCAGATTTCATTTTCAATAAGAGCTCTAATAAACCTTATATTCCTTAAGGCACATCTATAATCATCTGTATCTCCATAGATATTAATTAATTTTTATCTGTATCTACCACAAATTTATTTTTCCTACAAGTGATAAGTTTTCTGTGTATTACCAGTTGTAACTTTTTTGACAATTCAAAATCAACATTTTACTGTAGGGACTTTTTGATTGTCAAACTTTTCAAAAACATTGCTCTTCTTTTTAATATGGGTACCTGTGGACCTCTCTGTGAGTTCCACATGGATTGAAGAATCTCTTATAAAGGTTTGTGGCTGTTCCCAACTGAGACAAAGAGACTTACAGCTGTGGGAAATGAATTGCTGGCATAAATGTATGTCCCTCATGCCCCAGTTTCTAAGAGCCCAGTGCTTCAGCAGCTGAACAGATTGAAAAGCTGTTTCTGAGGTTTGAAATAATTTTTATCTCAGATAAAAGTTAAAAGGAATTAACATCTTAGTCCAGTACACATTAGGGAGAGCTGAGCTCCATGTCTCCTAGTGATGTCATCAGATAGATACTGAAATGGGAATGGAAAAAGTTAGATTACAAAATAAAGAGTCCAGCATGAGTAAACTACTGATATGTAATAAACTACACTATGTATGTAACAAGGAAGAAGTTTCTCCTAAGAGAGGACTTATATCCCAAGGTATGCTATTTCTCTGATTTAAAAAATTGCATCATATAGTAATTTGAAATACTACAAGAGACATTACAATTACTATACTTTGCCTTATTTTTGTGGAATATGTTAAAAAAAAACTACCAAAGACTTTGCTTGCTACAGGAGGTAATTTCCTACCTTTTGCAATTGAATGAACCAGGGCTGAAAAGCAAGAAAATGGCAATATTAGGAGATATTAGTGAAAGTATTGCATTGTGGTTGGCACTTTAAAATTAACAAATGAACTCTTGGATTTCCTGTTTGTGAGCCATGTCTTTAGTAAAGACCATACAAGGAATAAAAATGTACCTTCTAAATGAGAGGGAGGGACAAATGCAGTAATAACCTCCCCCTACCCTTGATGGCCGCAGCAAGAAAACAAATGGCCATTAAGATGTGGCGAAGATGACAGCTAGACCTGCTTGTTGTCCAGTCCAAGTGCCTTGTATACTGGCCTTTCACTGTGAGCTTCACTCCACACTTCTAGGTATAGTGTCTTTCCCAACCTTGCATGGTGAGTAGTGGATAACTGATTATCAATCCAGGCCCTTCAGCAGTATTCAGGGTATAATTAAGCCTTTGCCATACTACTACCTGAGATCATTAGATACCTCAAGTCATATCTCGTGTGAAGGTGTCCTTTGCATGGACCAGCCGCACATGCCTCCCCACCACCACCTCACACTTGTACCTAATAAGCTGAAACTAGAAGGTCACAAAGAGTCTTTTACTGTGAAACATCAGTACTGAGATTGTATCAGTTCATTCAAATTCCATCCTATTTTTGAAGATTTGGATTGAGCTGAAATGTTCTTTGAACAAATGCGTGAAAGGAGAACAGAAGTTTTCTGAAAAGGTGAAAATGTCATTACCTAAAATGTAGTCTGCAAGAGTCCAGGGGTGCCTGGTTTCTTATTTCTGATGAAAAGTGGATGACCAAAACCCACACGTACAGGCAAAATATTACATCTGCATGCCTAAACATGCTCCTTGGAAGTGGTAGGCAAGTCTGTTCCTGACACAAAGGTGACTTTATCCATTTTTTAAAAAAAGTAAGACCCAGACCAGGAAGATATTCCAGGAAACAGTGGAATCAATTATTTGAGCCCAACATTTTGGGCTCATCCTTGAAGCAAAATTCCCGTTTGTGCTTTGCTGGGGGCTCTTAAGTCCTTAGGCTGTGTTGCTGATTGAGTCATGTGATAAAGAAGAGGCTGTGGGGGAGAATATTGGGCTGCTGTTACAGGCAGGATTTGAGGAACTAAAATTGCTCTTATCATTTACAGTAGGCATCTGGGAGCCCCCTGCCCAGCCCTTGCCTCCCCCAGTTGGATAGAAAGGGCAGACTAGCGCAATGCCTACCCAGTTTGAGACCCAAATTGCAGAACAAACGACCCCAGAAAACTTGTGCTCTTCTATGTTTCTGCAGTGCATTCGCTGGAGAACAAAAGACCCTGATACACTTCTCCGGATCTGGTTTAAATAATTTTTGCACTTTTGTTGTTAAACTGGCCCCTTATGGCCAATTAGTTCGCATGTCTTTGAGTTTCACAATTGTATATAAAAACTATGACTTTGCGTAGCCCTCCTCCCCACTATCCTGAGCCTCTTTCCAGCCAGTCCTTCAACCTTGATTCCTTTCCTGCTCCCTGTCAGACTCTGAAGTGTCACTCAACGTGGTTTTTGTGTTTCCAACAGTTTCCAAAACAAACAGTGGAGGCCGAGGCCAGCTGGGTATTCACTCAGTCGGATGCAACAGTATCTCTCAATCTGAGCTGCCTGAGCCGCCATTGGCGGCAGGTCCGCTCCCTGAGAGGCCCTTGCTTGTCAATCTCTGCTCTCTGCCACGTCCTGGAATCAGGGAGTTGAGGACTGATGGTCCGCACATGTCCATTGGGAGGGAGGAGACCGCAGAGGGAAGGGGGACTAGACTCCAAAGGACTTTGGCTCCAGTTTGATCTTCCTTTCCTTTCATCTTATTCAAAGAAAAATATGTACGTATATATAAAAAGTACACACACACATTTTTCTTTGAATATTGATCCAGAAATTGCTTTTCTGATTTGGGGATTATTTTTGCTTTCTCTCTTTCTTCAGTCCCCTGCACTCTCCCTCCCTCTCCCTCCCTAACTCAGCTCAGGTTGAAACTTTGCAGTGCACATTCCCTTCGTCCCCCTCCAGGGATGGCTTTGAGCTCTCGGGCGCATGCCTTCTCCGTAGAAGCGTTGGTGGGGAGACCCAGCAAAAGAAAACTGCAAGAACCAAGAGAGGAAGTGCAGCTCGAGCTGCTGGAGAAAGAGGGCGGAAAGGTGCAGGAAGAGAGAAGGAGCGGCGCCGCGGGGAAGAAGAGAGAACAGCCTGGTAAGTACTTTTATGGCACCCCAAACCCCTAAGCCTGCTACTACCGCCTGATGGATCCGCAAGTCCTAGCCTGGCCTACGATGCTGCAGAAGAGTGTCTAGTCCTACCCTTGGAGGTTCTGACCCAGCCAGATGGCCAATGTCTGGCCCACGGGGACACCTTGTCCACTTTGCTGTAGGGGATGTTTCCAAGCCTCCAGGTTCAGCCCGTAATTTTGTGGTTCATTTACGGTGAGGAGGAGGGTCGCCACATGTTTATAGAGAAGTGAGACGCTCCAACCTCCCTGAAGTTCTGAAAGCCAGGGGGTGGCTCTTTCTCAGGGTAGAAAGCAGGTTATGCACCCAGATTCCGAGATTCAACCTCCAGTACCAAAGTCTCCGAGAGAGTTGAGGACCGGCAAATTTGAAGAAGGAACGTGCCTTTAACGGGGCACGTCGTGGACCCATTTGTCTCCATCAGGGGGGTACAGAGGGTGTTGTGGGGAACTTGGGGATCAAACGCCAAAGTCCTGGGAAAGAGATAAGGCGGATCTGCTACCAAGACGCGTTAGCGAGAAGGGGGCGTGTGAACCACGAAGCTCTCTCGCAAACTCTAGGTGTCTCTGTACCCAGCAGAAAAGCGACGCAAGACAGAGTCCTCAGCAACTTTCTCAGGCAGTGGAGGCTCTGGAGGCGGCAGCGGCAGCGGCGGCAGTGGCAGCGGCGGCAGTGGCAGCAGCGGCGGCGGCGGCAGTGGTGACGGCCTTAACCTTGGTGGAAGTCTGGAAGAGAAAGATGCTATCCAAATGGAGCTGCAAGGATCCGAGCTGTGGAAGCGATTCCACGACATTGGGACTGAGATGATTATTACCAAGGCCGGCAGGTTCGGCTCTGCCCAAATTGTTCAAGTACCACACATAGTAGGCCCTTAATGTACCACTCTCATAAGATGTGGTGCCTCCAGTTTTATGCTCTAGCACCCATCCCCCCAAGTCCCCACCCAGGACAGGCATTAGAAATCGACTGCCTCTCAATTGACTATACTACGATGTGCCTGGCCCATGTTAATGGAAGAATATTTCTTTCCTGTAGAGTCTGACTCAAAGTACTCATTCTCCTTCTGCGATACATGACAAAAATTAGACCTGTCTACGCAGGTGCCAGATTCCACCCCCTACATCTTAAGCTACAGACAGGCCACTCTGTTAAAGCCTCAGAGTAATCAAAGGACAATATCCCATCTTGAAGCCTCCAAACCACTATCCCTAGCTGAGGTGGAGCTTTACCACTTGGACCATCTGCTCTGGGGCAACTTTTGGGGGGCAGCTCGGTTCTTTCCTATGTGAGAATCCTCCTAATTCCAGTCTTTTCTCAAATCTGCCTCACAAAACTTTCTGCTGAAAAACTGAAGAAAGGGCATAGCTTTTTCTCTCTTACCTTTTCTCTTATAACTTTTTATTATTGTGGGAGTGGGGAGGACAAAGTTTTGTGTTAAGGATATTCTGCTCCCATCCGAAAATCTGAACTTCTTCAGTCAAGTTTAAAAACAGCAGTATGTCTTCGTGTAGCAAATGCCTTTCCCTAAATATCTCCTGGAATGGGAAGGATATTGTGAATTCCTTCTCCTCTCATTTGACCCAACCCTATCACACTTGAAATGTCTCTGAAAGCACTCAGGTCAGTCACTATTTTCCCTCCCACAGGCGGATGTTTCCCTCTGTTCGAGTCAAGGTGAAAGGGCTGGACCCAGGGAAGCAGTACTACCTAGCCATGGATGTGGTGCCAGTGGATTCCAAACGCTATAGGTAAGGGGAGGGGTGCCAAAGGAGAGTACCACAGGCTCAGACTGGGAATAGGCATTCTGGTCTTTGGAACCTGACAGTGCTATTTTGAAAGCACTACTAGAGATAGGGGAAGTGAGATTGCTTTCCTGTGGACTTTAGGAGTCAAATTTTCTTGCTCAAAGCGGGCTTCAGACTGTGAAAAGACTAGTTTGCCTCCTTTTGCCTCTCACTCCTGGAAAGCAGGTGCCATCTGGTGCTTCAGTGTGTCCCAAACGTCTAGTCTACCCACTGCTCTGGCCTAGGGTGTGTAAACTGCAGAAGGTTTGGACTCAGAAGGCTAGCAGGGAAGCTGTTTGATGGAATTCGGGGATAAATGCCTGGGCTTGTAGGTACATAGTGGGCTCTGGGTTGCGCTGCTTTGGCAGCAGGTCCTGGAGTGATGCCCTGGTTTGCCATCTGAGGCTAGTCTAGCAGTTGTCGCACTTAGGTCCATCTTTTCTTTTTTTTTGCTCTCTCCTGAGGCAGGGGTCAAGTCTGAGACAGTACTAGAAAACTTTCCTCTTGCTGTAAGCACTTTACTCAGAGAAGGCAAAAAGTGGTCGAATTAATCAAAAACCAAAAGGCCAGAAGTGCTCCTGTGCGAGTCAATGCTTTTGGCTCAGAAGCTGTGGGGGGTTGTGCGGTAGCCGCCTACACTCTGGCTGTGAGCTGAGAGCTGTGATCATCGAAGTGGAAGTCAGTGTCTAGCCTTTTAGGAGACAGCCAGCATCACGCCCAGGGCTAAATTTGAGGGGCAAAGAGAAGGCGCAGCTCAAGAGCCTGCTGGACCCAAAGCCTGAAAATAGCAGAACAAGCTGTCTGCTTCTCGAGTTTGATCTATCTTGGGAACACTGTGTACAACTGAGCGGTTGAAATTGGAAATAGTGTGAAAATTAGCTCGGAAACCACTTGGGGCAGAATTTGCCGGGACATTTTGATGTGAAGCCTTGTTGGCAAAAGGGCTTGACCATGTCTGGTGGCTGTGAGCTGGACACACTGCTGCTTCTTCCCTGACACTTCTGGCCAAAGGCTGGAGAATTTTCTAGCATCTCTGCACAGCAAAACTGCATAGGTCAATTTCTGTTGCGGTTTCTGTGAGAAAACACAAACCAGACTCTGAAATCCCATGACATTGTACTTGTCCTGGCACTTCACTGCATTTTAATGACATATGTTTATTTACAAGTTTGCTTTCTATCCCTGAAAGCTCTTTGGAAATCAAGTTACATCTTCTACTAGTTTCCTTTGGGATTAGCTAGCAAACCTTGACTGAGGTCATTTGGACTGTTTCCTGGCCGCGTTCCTCCCATGCCCCTGGCTTTGGCTGGCTGCACATAAAGCTACACTCTGCATGCCTTTTTCAGGTATGTGTACCACAGCTCTCAGTGGATGGTAGCCGGGAATACAGACCACTCCTGCATCATTCCCAGGTTCTATGTTCACCCAGACTCACCCTGCTCTGGTGAGACCTGGATGAGGCAGATCATCAGCTTTGATCGTGTAAAACTCACCAATAACGAAATGGATGACAAAGGCCAGGTAAGTGTGCAATCCTTTGCCCTGTGGAAGGGGTGGATATGTTAAGGCATCAGCCCACATGTCACCCTGGAGGTGCCAAGTAGGCTTCTCCCAGATAAGCTAGTTGTGGTCTTTAAGAACTATCCAACTTCTGGGGCCTGTAATGAAAATTGGTCTTATGTATGACCTTTGGTGGCTGAGGCTGAGTGTAAAGGGTTGGGAATGGTAAGCCAAGGGAGTGTGAGGATTAAATGACTCTTGTTTAAGCCAAGATACCTGGATTTGGAGACTGAAAAGGAATGTTTCAAAGAGCTCTCTGGTACATCTGCCTACCAGGCAATCACTGTGGCTCTGATCACCTTCTAGTAGATGGGCTCTTTCTGTGTGGCATGGCATGTTGGAAATCTCTCCAATGTCCCCAGAGGATGAACTTTGCAAGTCATCTCCAGCCTCTGTTCAAGTGCACCTTTGCCCCTGCCATGCCCAGTCTGGCCCTGTGCAAGCCACACAAGGAAATAGGTAATCTCCAGAAATGAAGAGGTGGAGAATATCATATGGTTGCCTATCAGTTGCCATAAGCCCAATAAATTTATGGAAGGCAGTCAAACCCCAGTGACACCTGGGGGCATCACATGGTCACCACATTTGGAAGTAGGAAAGGGCCCCATGTGGAAATGGAATCACTGCAGCCTGGTGCCACTGTGGTGCCAGGCTCCAGAACCCCTTAGCCCTGAGGGCCTTTGCCTGGGGCAAAATGGCACAGAAAAGTCCTTGTGTGTGGCCAGCTTAGCCTTTCTGGTTTAGCTTAGCTTTTGTGTGTAGGCAGGTTGGGGGTGCTGATGAGAGTGGGACAGTATTAGGGAAGGGAAGCCAATTTCTAGGCAACACTTCATGATTTCTCCTCCAGATCATTCTGCAGTCCATGCACAAGTACAAGCCCCGTGTGCACGTGATGGAGCAGGACAGTAGAATCAACCTGTTCCGGATTCAGTCCCTGCCCACTGAAGATGTGAAAACGTTCTCCTTTAAAGAAACAGAGTTCACTACGGTAACAGCTTACCAAAACCAGCAGGTAAAGCTAACCAGGTCCCAGACAAGCAGTGATGGCCCCAGAAGGATTTACTGAATAGACACAATCTGCACTATGCGGATTGAATTTCCCCTGACTTAAAAAAAAAAAAAGCAGCCTTACTGCATTTTTATCAAGGCAAATTTGGTTGTGAATTGTGTGAATCTGGTGTTTAAAGAAGAGCAAAACAATGTGCCAGGAGAGAAAGAAGATAATCGTCTCAAAATTGACTTACAAATATGCTTGTATTTATTTAACATGCCATAGTCCACACTGAAAAATATTGTGTGGTTGTTGTGACCATTAAAAGCAATGGTGACAGTGTTATTACCAAGGGCATTGACATTATTTTTCTCTCTCTTTTGAATTCATAGATTACCAAACTGAAAATAGACAGGAATCCTTTTGCTAAGGGATTTAGAGATCCCGGAAGAAACAGGTAAGCAAAATATCACATCTAATTTAATATAGCCCCTTTCACAAGTATTACAGATAAGTATGGGTCAGAGACTCAGCAACTCTAAGTTTTGTACCTAGTAGGCAGTAGAAAATGGACCTAGATATTTTGTCTCCAAAATCTTGCCTCTTCCCAATACGTCCCAAATCCACCTTTAAGATGTTGCTTATTCTAGCTTCTTGAGTTTTTTTAGTCATGGAATAATTACTTGGGATTTTATTGACACATCTAGCTATAAAAGAAAGTCATTTCAGATATTCAACCCTGAAAATCATAAAAAAATAGCTCAAAAGTTTATATAAATCATTAATTTCAGGAATAGCATTCTGGACTTGCTTAAGGTTGAATCTCTTTTTCAGGGGTGTATTGGAAGGGCTTTTAGAGACCTACCCATGGAGGCCTTCTCTCACTCTGGATTTTAAAACTTTTGGTACAGACACACAAAGTAAGAAAAGTTTTGTTAATATCTATTTTTAAATGTCGATGAAATAACTACAAACAAAGCCTTTATACTAAATATTAGACAAGGGGATAAGTACATGCCAAAAAATGTGTGTTGGCAAAAAAAGTGGGTATATATATATGTATCTTGATTAGGAGGTAAGAAGCAAAAAGGAAGAGGAATTGGCATAAAGGAAAAAGGCAGAGACATACATGGTAATGGTGGATTTATTGACTTTTGTCTTCCTGAGTTAATAGTACATCCTGAGATCTCCAGATCTCACCTGGATTCTTCAGCATCTTACAATTCATATTATTTAGAATTTCCCTGTGGTACATTTGTGGGCTTATTTGCAAATGTGTTAGATATTGAAATAAATATTTTGTGTTTTAGGAAAAAAGTTTAATACATGTTAAAATGACTTACATCAAATTAAAATAATTTATTTTTCTACCATACTTACATCTAATTTTTCTTTTGTTGTAAGTAGGAAAAATAAATGTTAGAAACAATACTAACCCACAACAGTTAGTTTAATTACCACAAGCATTTAAAATATTTGCAAAGTATTTGTTCTCAGGTAGTGCATTACATGACTAAATAATAATCATAATTAGACAATGCAGGTGTTGTGGTAGAAGAGTGTATGCCTTCATTTAGTTGATATTTAACAAAATATAGAAGTTTATTTGCAAACAAAAAGAATCATTTTACCTCTTTATCTTTATTCCATTAGTTGTTTGTCTTTGAACTTCAATTCAAGGTTACAATTACCTTGAGAAAATCATCAATAACGCAGGTTCAGTTTTACACAATTCATAACAACCAATTGAAATGAAAAGAGATGAAGCCTAATTGTTTGGTAAAATATTTTACTGGGTTGACTATAATAATTTGGTCTGGAGGATGGCATAGAAAAATATGAATGCTTATTCGTTATCATCACTTAAAATAATAGCATCGAGGCAGGCTGTTTTTAAAACACCCAAGTCAACACAAAGTGCACTGATAAAGAAAAGAGGTAAAGATAATCATAAATTGATAACATCCAATACACATTTTCTTAATTATTTGAGATGTTCAGAATGCTCTCAATTCATAAAGAAAATGGGTACCAATTTTTAAACAGAATTTTGAATGTTTAATTATAAGATATTTGCCACCCTGTTGATAAAGAACTAGGTTATCCTCTTATACACAAAATAAAAAATAGAAAAACAACAGCAACACCAAAAAAACTAACACATATGATGAAGCTCAGTCAATAACAAATATTTTCAATTCAAACACTTACAAAAATAAGGTATAAAGTGTAGAGGTTCATGGACCTTATAATTATCCCTGATTTTAGCAGATGCTAACAACTATAAAAGATCACCTGACAGCATTGATATGAACACTTTCATTTTCATCCCGATATTTTTCAAATTGTAAAACTGTCTTTAATTCTTCATATAGTGCACAATGGAAGTCTTCCCTTTCATATAAGAAAAAATCTAATACATTAACATATTTATTTTTATTGACTTTATTGAGATGACAACAGTTAATAAAATTATATAGGTTTTTCAGGTTACGAATGTATATCTATGTGTGTATATATTGTATTGTTTTAATTTGTAAAGACTACTTTCATGATTTTTTCATCAGACTGAGGCTTTCTATACAATCCAAAACAACCCATTTGCTCATTTTAATCAAGAATTTAGTAATTTTTAAAGTTAAAAAAACTAGTTTTTATTTGTAAAACATACAAATGTTTTGGGCTCTGGGTCATATGTAATTGGGCTTTTTTTGTAATTCATTACATAAAAGTTGTTCAAGTGCCTAGCACAGTTCTTGAGTATGGTGAATGCTTAATCAATACATGATACATTATTGTAGTTCTAAAAGTAATAGTAGTAATAGTAGAGATACCATATTCAATTCAACTTTAGTCAGAGGAAGAAACATGTTCTTTCCCAAAGAAGTTAAAAAAAATGCAAGGAAAGCTAATCTACAAATGAAGCAGGGATAGTTATGGACATGATTACTGATTCAGCAGGAATATCAAGTTCATTGTTCATTGACTGAATTGTCATTCACAGGTGGAAGCAGTGGCTCATCTCCAGTGACCTCTAGTGGAGGGGCTCCCTCTCCTCTGAACTCCTTGCTTTCTCCACCTTGTACCCCACCTACGTTTCACTTACCTACAAGTTCCTTTGGAATGCCCTGTCCGGAGATGTACCTGCACAATGTCAATCTACCCCTTTGCTACAAGATTTGTCCAACTAATTTTTGGCGACAGCAGTCTCTTGTCTTGCCTGCTTCTGAAAACCTAGCAAGCAACAGCAATTCTCAGTCGTTCAGCCCACTCATGATGGAAGTTCCCATGTTATCTTCCCTGGGGGTTGCCAATTCAAAAAATGGTTCATCTGCAGACTTCAGTGGGCAGTGTCTACAAGCACCTAGTTCTTCCAATCAAACGCTATATGGATTACAGGCAGCTGGAAACATTTTATCACCAAACCCCATTGCCCGGGAAACAGTAGACTGCTCTTTCCATCCTTCCTTTGGCTTTTATAGGTACAACTTCTCAGTGCCATCTAGACTGGTAAATGCTTCCAAACATCTCAGAATGAATGACAACACTCAAGTTTCTTTTAGAGAAGGCAAATGCAATCATGCTCATTGGTATCCAACAGTTCATCATTGCCTGTAATGAAATAATCACATTAGTTAAACAACTACATGCAAGCACATAGTTTTTCATTTGTATGCAAAGAACACTCAAGAGCTTTTGGGCTTTACAAAGTTCATTAGCAGAGAGTATTTTGCAACTATGCATTTAAAGTGCCTTATTAAATGTTCATAAGAAGTTATATTCATTTTTGACCTATAATAAATATGAACTATAACAATCTCTGATTACAGTGGCCTTGGGCCTCACAATAAGATACTCAATAAATGTTATTTGATGAGATAGACTATATTAGTGGCCAATGAAGGAGCTACTAATATCAATTTTAAGATGAGAGTAAGGACACAAAATTTAAAATATTATTCTTTGCAGTCTAGACTATTTAATGCTGAAGGAAATGAAAGTTAGATGAAATGCAAAATATTCTAAATAAATTCAGCCATTTATTTCCTTTTACTTTTTAATCTCTCCTAGATGAAACTTGTTTACTTATTCCTTTAACAAACCTGGTATTTTATACTTAGTTTACAAAAGCAAATTATTGTAGTTCTTGAAAAAAAATCTAAGAAATTGGGATTTAAAGAGGAAGAATATATTTGAGTCCATAAATATGAAAATATCATTACATTGGTACAATTTAATTATACTACTGTGCAACAATCACAGTAAATTAGACTAGATAGAAGTAGCATAAACAGGACTTTGTTTTAAACTAAATTGTTTATAAAGTTGAAAAGTCTCCTTTCACCTGGTCCTAATTTTTTTGTAAAAACTCATCTATATATAATCTGTATATCTTTAAGATGAATCCGATTTTAATTTTTATGCTACTAGCTCTATCATTTATTAACTCAAGACACTTCATATCATAATGGCATCACCAAACTTTTGACAAACTAACAAAACTTTTAAACTGCTTTTTCTAACCTTTCTAAAACACATTAAGAACTTACCATTTTTATTTATTTTTCTCAAAATGGTTATTTTGATTTAAATATGACCTATAAATGTGCCTTCCAGTACATGCATTAAAATTATATGCTCCCTCATTTTTCAAGGGAGGGATAGAGCAGCATATGCTTACACTCAAACTGAGAATTCTAGTAAGGATAATATTTCATCCTTACTAATTAGGTATGTGTTATAAAAGTCTGAAGCAGAACACCTGCACTACCTAGATTTATCAAATCAGGAAATAAACACCAAGAACACTTTATTACTGTCTACTCCAAAACAGGAGAGCTGTAAGCTAACATTTACTGCTAAAGTAAATTTTGACTTTTTTAAGCAAAAAAGTCCATGTCATGTAATAATGAAACATTCTGATGGCTTACATGACAGATGCTCAGCAATTAATAACAGAAAGTATTTAACTGAAAAATCTCTAGGTTTCTTTTCAGATTATAATATTTAAGAAGAGGCATTAACATTATAGTTGCTTGAGTACATGGTACTCCATGCTTTATATTTCAGATAATTTAGGTATATATCACCCATATAAAGTGATAACAGAGAACTATATTAGCAAAGGTGATTAATATAAAGGAGTGAAAGTTAAAATATTATAATGTAGGCATCTATTGTAAGTGTTTTTATATAATGTTCATAAATTGTCATACTATACTTTTAATTAAAGAAATAAAACCAACAGAAAGCCTGAATGGAAAGTTACAGTTGGAAGAGACCTCAAGAAATCTAGTAAGCCATCCCCCACTTTCTCATCTCCAAAAAGCTTCTCATAGCTATAAATTGTGTGCAATTAATATTTAGTGTTATTATTTTATATAGAATAGACACTTACTCCCTAATAGGATTGTGCATAACTTGAGTAACTTGGTAAACTGAGGCAATGGTTATGGAATAAAAGCAAAATGCTATGGAATTCTATTAATTTCAATTGCATCAACTAAATAGCAGGCTTGCTTTAAAAACCACAAAAATGAATTCACTCTAGTTAGACAAGATGTGAAATAGCAAATAAAAGTTGCCAAATGATACTTAGTAGACCCCCAAGTCTAGTAATTAACACTGCTATTTCCATGTGGTTTAACTATGCATATACATTTACCTCTTGCTTCTTTAAAAATAAAACATCTTAATTCAGCTGATTAGATTTATAAAATCTGATTCTTAACCTGAACTTATTATAGTATAATAAGTTTAGTATAGTATAGTATATACTATATAGTATAGTATATAGTATAGCATATAATAATACTTATTATATAAACTTATAGTAAACCTAGAAATAAACATAGAAAAATTAAATTTTTCATCAACTGTGTGCAATTTGTACATTTAGTCAGGAAATAAGTGAATTCATATTTGCACAACCTCCAGTCAAGCTCAAACATAGTCAGATTCCTTTACGAGGAAGGCCCTATTTTGTGGAGCAGTCAACCTGAAACCAAAGACTTGATTTCAAGTTTGAGACCCATTGCAGAGCACATATCTAAGTGGAAAATATTCATTACATTTAAATGACCAAAAGATAATTTCAGGTAACCTAACTTAGAACATCAAAATGATTATTTCTTTTCATTAAACAAAGGGGCTAAGCCCTCTGGACATTACATTTGAAAGTCTAATATATAAATTTAGATTACATATTATTAGAATCTTCAAACATTAATGCCATGCTTCTATTCACTGTACTATAAAATGAAGATTTATAATTTTCCCCTACCATAAAGGTAAACATTCATGATATTTCACTGCTGTAGGCATGGGTTTTCGTATGGTCTGGGAATGGACATGACTTCATTCTTCTTTTATAGGTTTGGAGCGAGTTTATGGCAGGAAATCAAATGAACAATTAGAATTAGGAAGTGATGAATTAGTGAATCACTCTTTGAATAATCACAGTCCTATGTGCTGACAATTTGATAATGTCCCAATAATGAATAAAGACAACCGTCTATATTGGACATTACAGAAGACTTACCATACCTTTCACTCTTGTAATTATTTATATTATGCACCTTGGGGAAAATCATGGTGCACACAAAGCAGATAATGTGTCTTTCAAGTGTTACTGGTGTAATGCTAAGCTGAACATGGCAGAAAAAATGTTTTGTATAAATATTTAAAATATATTTTACAAAAATCTACAAATATATTGATGACATTTAAATGCATTGAGACAATAGGGTAATATATAATTATCTTCTTACTAAATCCTAGTAACAAAGCTTTTCCTTAACCAAATATGCAATTTTATAAATTCTAGATGTCACATTGTAATTTATGTAACCAGTGGGGTTTGAAGTTAGTTTTAAAATAATTTATACTACTTTGTTTTTATTTCTGCTACTACTCAAAAAGAGATGCTACAAAGAACACCTATTTATCACAAACTTATACTATTAATTACATATACTTATGAAAGGAAGGTTTAAATATACCTAGAAATGTCTAATTGCATGTACTTGATTTTGTGAATTCACTTGACAAGGTACAAGTACAAAGTTTTTACTCTTAGATATATGTTGTCTTTGTGGTGAAAAATCTTCAGTCAAAATAACAATAATATCTAGCATGCAGCAACAGTTTATTGGTAAATTTTACTGGAATTTAACATGTTTATTGGAGCAGTTTGAAACAAACCAAATGCATATCTTAGTCATTGGTGGCAGTTGTTTTTGATATAAGTACTTTCATATACACTTAATCTTCTAAGGTTTGGTCTGCAATTAAATGATAATTTGTATTAAAGCTGTGTGAATAAACATGGTTTGGATGATAACTTAAAACAGAACAAACAGCTATATAGAACATCTGAAACATATGCTGTATTAAAACTATTTACATGTATGGTGCTGGCCAACTTTTGACATGCTGTTTCAATAAAATATTGAGAGGAAAAAGACTAATATCATTTCCTTTTAATGTATCAAATGTTCATGTTTACAAATTTGGACTGAACATTAATAAGTAAACATACAGTATAGTCAGCAGATGAACTGAGAATAATTATAAGATATTTCTACTTGGCTGAAGTGTACTCATATATATTGGATTTATTTTTAATTTATCTTTTTCATTTCTTTTTTTAAATTTTTTTAATTTATTTATTTTTAGAGAGGGAAGGGAGGGAGGTAGAGATAGAGGGAGAAACATCAATGTGCGGTTGCTGGGGGTCATGGCCTACAACCCAGGCATGTGCCCTGACTGGGAATCGAACCTGCAACACTTTGGTTCACAGCCCGAGCTCAATCCACTGAGCTACACCAGCCAGGGCTCTTTTTTAAAATTTGTGTATATTTTTTATTTTAATTGTTGTTCAAGTACAGTTTTCTGCCTTTTACTCCCATCCCAGCCCACCCCCAGCCCTCCCCACCTCTTTTTAAAGTATCTAAAAGAGCTACAAAATTCAAAAATAAATATCACAGAAACCTTGAAATTATAGCAAAATAAGTTGTATCATTAAACTCTTACCAAATCATCACATATATGTTATTGTTAAGATGACAGAATTTTGATTTTGGATTTAAGGTCACATTTTATGCACATGGTAATGAAAGTATAATATAATATTTGAGTTGTAGAAAATGGTATAAAGGATTCAAAATTTTACTAGAACAAGAAAGGAATAAAATAACAAATAACTAGATTTAAAATATTGGATTAAAATTAATATTTTTAAATTAAAGATTTTCTAATGAAATACATAGTTCAGTCAATCTTATATTTTATGGTTATTTTTAAGAAAATGATGCTTTGGTATTTTAATTTTATTGAAATTGTTTTCATATTTCTTTTGTGACATAAAGACTTTGTGACTTCTTATCAGTTACTCTAACTTATATCTAATCATGGTGGGCTTTTAATTGAATTTTTTAAATTTTAGGACAAATTGTTTTATAGAAATACCCACAAATAGATTACCCCTTGAAAGAGGAATAATTTCTTAGTAAGACCCAACTTGAAGTAGCAAGATTACTCTCTACTGCACTTATATGGACATCATGTTTGGCTTTCTTAAAGGGAATTCATACACAGGCCAAATACTTAGTGTCAAC